ATGGTGGGTGTGCGCCTGTAGTTCCAGCTACTTGGAAGGCTGAGCCCAGCAGGTCGAGGCTGTGGTGGCCGTGAGTGTACCACTGCACTTTAGCCTGGGTGACAGAGTGAGACTCCAACTCAAAACAAAAACAAGAACAAACTCATCAATGTTGAATAATGGAAAAAACTGAATAAGCTAGGAACAGGAGGAAACATCGAGGCCATTGCAGCCTCGACCTGCGTGATAAGTTACCAGAAACCCAGAGCAAGAATCCTGCTGCATGATGTGATATGGGAACCCCTAAGAGAGGAAGCAACAGGGGGCCATTCAACATCATCCTGGAGGTCCTGCCTCTGTGATTCACAAGAAAAAAAACAAGTGTAAAGGAGGAGATAACACTGCCACTAGCAGGATATAAATTGACTGTCTAAGTCAAGAGATCAACGGAAGAACTCGGAACACTCAACGAGGTCTACAAGGCAAGCAACACAAAGACACAAAGATGGATGCCAGTGATGGTTAGAAACGTAATTTCAAAAGATCCTGTTCTTGTACAAGAAATTTACAAGTCAAAAAAAAAAGAAAGAAAGAAAGAAAGAAAAACCCATTAGTAACAAGTAACTGGGAATTTTTTCTTTTTGAGTTGGAATCTCACTTTGTTGCCCAGGCTGGGGTACAGTGGCACACTCACGGCTAGCCCAGCGTCGAACTGCTGGGCTCTGGCGATTCTTCTGCCTCAGCCTTCCAAGCAGCCAGAACTACAGGCATGCACTACCACATCTAATTTTTTTTTTTTGAGTTATTGTAGAGACTTGGTCTCACCAAGTTCCTGGGCTGGTCTTGAACCTGTGGGCTCAAGCAATCCACTCGCCTCGGCCTCCCAAAGTGTTAGGATAACAGGCTAAGCCACTGAGTCTGGCCTAGTGGGAATTTTATAAAATTCCTAAAATTAAATTGAACAAGAATTGTAAAAGGCCCATACAAAGATATCATCACCTTACAAAAGAACATACCTCATTTATGGATAGGAAGATTTGAAACTGTTCTCTACCCCGAAATCACAGTTTAAAAAACCTGCCAATGAATGTCCCAACAAGACTTTTATTATTTATTTATTTTTTTGAGTTGGTATCTCACTCTGTTGCCCAGGCTGGAGTGCAGTGGCAAGCTCACAGCCACGCTAGTGTCGACCTGCTGGGTTCAGGTGATCCTTTCACCTCAGCTCTTCAAGTAGCCAAAACTACAGGCGCATGCTACCACACCTGGCTCATTTTTTATTCATTGTAGAGACGCGGTCTCGCCAAGTTGCCTGGGCTGGTCTCGAACCCACGGGCTCAGGCAATCCACTGCCTCAGCCACCCAAAGTGCTGGGATTACACACTGAGCCAAACACTTTTAAATGAAAACTAATGGCTGGGCTCGGTGGCTCAGCCTGCAATCCTAGCACTTTGGGAGACTGAGGCGAATGGACTGCCTGAGCCCACGGGTTTGAGATCCACCTGGGCAACTTGGTGAGACCTCATCTCTACAATAAATCAAAAATTAGCTGGGTGTGGTAGCGCATGCCTGTAGTTCCAGCTCCTTGGAAGGCTGAGGCAGAAGGATCGCCGGAGCCCAGCAGGTCAAGACTGCGGTGGCTGGGAACATGCCACTGCACTCCAGTCTGGGTGACAGAGTGAGACTACGACTCAAAAAAAAAAAAAAGAAAGAAAAGAAAAAAGAAAACTAACACCTTTATTCAAAGTTCCTTTGCAAGAAAAAGTATGAAAATATGAAGTGGCCAACGGGACAGATTAATTTCAAAAACAGATCCACATATATGCAGGAATCTAGTTCATTTTAAAAGATGTTTCCAATGAGGAAAGAATGGCCCATTCAAAACACAGCATAGGGACAAGTGGTTTCTTCTTTAGGAAGAATTAGCTCACTACCGCCCATAACATACACATACACATACCTTTAGCTCATCTGGTTTACTTTTTGTATATACGTATAAATTTTTTGTTTGAGTTGGAGTCTCACTCTGTGGCCCAAACTGGAATTGCAGTGGCATGATCATGGGCCATTGCAGCCTCGACCTGCTGGGCTCAGGCAATCCTTCCGCCTCAGCCTTCCAAGTGGCTGGGCACACACCACCACGCCCGGGTAACTTTTTGATTTATTGTAAAGATGAGGTCCTGCCATGTTGCCCAGGCTGGTCTCCAACTCCTGTGCTCAGGCAATCTTCTCACCTCAGGCTCCCAAAGTGCTGGGAATATAGGTGTAAGCCACCACACCTGGCTCTACATACTTTTTTTTTTTTTTTAAGTTGCAGTCTTGCTCTGTCACCCAGGTTGAAGTGCAGTGGCACACTCATGACCACCCCCGCGTCAGCCTGCTGGGCTCTGGTGATCCTTCTGCCTCAGCCTTCCATGTAGCCAGAACTACAGGCGTACACCACCACGATCGGCTAATTTTTTATTTATTGTAGAGATGAGGTCTCGTCAAGTTGCCCAGGCTGGTCTTGAGCCTGCAGGCTCAGGCGATCCCCTCGCCTTGGCCTCCCAAAGTGCTGGGATTACAGGTTGAGCCACCAAGCCTGGCCTGCTACATACATTTTATACATGTGTATTCACACACTCACACAAATGTGTATGTTTAAAGCCACATTAAGCAAACATAAGAGAAAATGAATGAGAGAAGATAAATGAAGTGGTAGCTGAAAAGGATGTGAGAATCAGCACAGGTTTTTTTTTTTTTTGAGTTGGAGTCTCACTCTGTCGTGGCCACTCCCAGCCACCACAGCCTCGGCATGCTGGGCTCCAGCGATCCTTCCACCTCAGCTTTCCGAGTAGCCAGAATTACAGGCGCACGCCACCATGCCCGGCTGATTTTTTTATTTATTGTAGAGATGAGGTCTCGCTGCCCAGGCGGGTCTCGAACCCGCGGGCTCAGGCAATTCACTCACCTCAGCCTCCCAAAGGCACGGGATTACAGGCTGAGCCACCGAGCTCGGCTCAGCACAGGTTTTGTAATTGTTTCAGAGATGGGAGATTCCACAGCAAGTTTAATGCTAACATAATCCATCCAACAGAATGACAAAACAACAACAAAACCAAACACCCAAACCAAAACAGCAAAACCCAACAACACAGAAACCCCAGAAAAGTCCTTAAGAAAGCTATGGAAGAGATAGGCTCCAAAGCACAAGAGGAAAGGTGTAAGTCCCAGAGGCTGACAACAGGAAGTAATGACATGGCAAGGCATGCAAGCACAATTGGCAATGAGAGTTGGCAACGGGAGACAGGGTTCCCTCCAATGGTTGTTTCTTTTCTTTTTTTTTTTTGAGTTGGAGTCTCACTCTGTGGCCCAGGCTGGAGGGCAGTGGCATGCTCATGGCCACTGCAGCCTCAACCTGCTGGGCTCAGGGATCCTTCCACCTCCGCCTTCCAAGTGGTTGGAACCCCAGGCGTGCACCACCACATCCACACAATTTTTTGATTTATCGTAGAGGCAAGGTCTTTCCAAGTTGTCCAGGCTGGTCTCAAGCTCCTGGACTCAGACAATCCTCTCATCTTGGCCTCCCAAAGTGCTGGGATTACAGACGTGAGCCACCGTGCCTGGCTTAATGGCTATTTCTTAATGAAGTATGAGTCATGGTCAGTAACTACCACAGGAAAGGGGGATTGGAGATGAAACAGCAGTTTTGACACCCCAGAACAATCTGCTGGGCAGTAGAGTGTCCATTTGAATTTCAGTAACTTAAGGAACAACTAGTGGGCCAGATTGGCTGTTTCCTTGCCTAATAACAGTGACTTGGGTTTGGGCATGGGGGTGAATGATTGGGTTCACCCAGGGTTAGAGTTTTACTAGAATACAATGTAGGGAGACGGGGAGTGGAGGGTGTGGACCATGGAATTAATGCTACACAAGAAGGGAAGTGAAGACAGGTTAGTGATGAGAATGTAAGTGCTGGTTTAGAGGAGGAGGATTAAGAATTTTTGCAGGGTGGGTAGTTCAGTAAGCCAGGAAGAAAGCCATGAGGTGGTGAGTGTACAGGTATTGAAATTCAAAAGGTGCTGCAATTTCTATTGATGTCAGGGGTCCATGGAGTGACCAGGGACATAGGAAGCAGGCTGGAACAGAAAGGCAGTGTTGGGGACATCAAGGAACCAGAGGGCCATACTGTTGAAGAGTTCCATCCATGAGATGTAGAAAATAGCAGAGGTGGAAGACTAAGCCAGGAAAACAATCTTCAACGGCTGAGCAGTGACTAAAAGGTCAATGACAGCAATGAAGATGGAGGATGTCTAGCCAGGGGCAGAAACTTCACAAAAATGAGATGGCGTGGTTTGCAAGAGGGCTGGTGGGGAGAGATGGTCTGAGTAGCCACAAGGAGGCCACCAACTCTACCTTCTGGTGCTGAGGTACAAAGGGTAAGGGCAAAAAAGTTGCCTCCGTTTAAAAGGTTATAAAACAATCTACACACTCAGGAAATAACCAGGTTTCATATAAAACCAGGAGATGGAGGAACCATTCATTCAAAACAAGGTTACGGATACAGAGGCCTACATAGCACACGTTCTGGAGGTGACAGATGGTTAAGGGTGGGAGAGAGATGAGGTCCAACCTGGAGGTGTACACAACAGCATGGAGGTGAGCACTCCTGTATAAATGGGTGATTAGAAGGCAGGCAAAGCAGCTCGCCAGGCACAATGGGATTTGTCCTGAGCATCTCTTAGTGGCAGGGGAATGTCAGGTCTTGGGGCTGTAATCCTGAACGCTTGAATCAGTGTTAACTGCAAGTCCCAGTTTGGCAACTGGGACTGTTCCCAGTTGCCAAACACATGCACGGAGGCATAGCACAGGGCCTGGGGCTTTCTAAATGGTTAACAAGAGAGAATAAACCACCCAAGAAATATTCCAGCAATTCCGTATTTCCTTCCCGTCAGCCCACTGACCCACAGGCCTCCACGGAGGAGCAGTTTTTAACTCTACAAGTCTCCCTCTCCACCCCAGAGAGTCACTCAGACACCAGCTCAAGTCACTACCCACCAGGGGTTTAATTCTCCTAAGCCAGAAGGTCAGTTCAGAGAGGGGCCCTGCCTCCTCCCCATCAAGGGGTGAAAATCTGCAGAGCACCCTGGGAATGTCCAAGTCCAGAGGAGCCAGAGACCAGTCCCTGAGCAAGCGGAGAAGTGGGTTCTGGGGTCTCAGGCTGCCTCCTCCTCTTCACTCTCCTCTTCACTCTCGTGGTACTGTCTGCGGTTGGTGTTAACAAAGAGGTCAGAATCATCTTCAGAGCTGGACTCTTCTGATGACCGTGGCTCCGCTGGCAGTTCTGGTTGAGTTTGTCTGTGTGGGAAAAAAGAAGCGTTAACCCAACACTTTCTGGGAAAACCAGATCTGCAATGAAGGAGTTGCAAAAAAGGACGAACATTTGGCCAAGCGGTCAGGGTCCTACAGGCCTGCCAAAGGACAGCATCCCCAAAATGCTAAAATGAGGGACAGAGCCAGACCAAACAGTGGGAAATTTTGGCCAAAGAAAACAGGCTAAAGACTGCCCTCCACCTCAAAAGTATGTTACAGTTATACATAACAATGGTTCTATCACCAATGAATGCTTAATGGACTCACATTACATACATAGTACTGTACGAAGCAATTTCACAAGCATTAGCTTCTCTAATCATCACAAAGCTCCCATTTTATAGATGAGGAAATCTAGTCTTAAGAGATTAAATAACTTGACTAAAGCCATTCTGATATAAGCAGCAAGGCCAAGATTTCAACCCAGAGTATCTGGTCTTGAAGTCATAGTCACAACCACATACTATACCACACACTTAGGAGCTCTCAACATGTACCCCAGGTAGGCAGAAAGGAAGGCTCCATTTCTTCCTCAAGGCACCAAAGCACAAACCCCGTGTTTGTCTTTCCTACCACAAGGTTTGCTCCTCACCTGCTCCTGTTGCTGTGTTTCTCAGCCACTTCAGAGAAGGCCTCGGGCCTACGCCAAGAGAAAAGCCAGAGTCAGAGAGTACAAAGAAATCTCTCAACAAGAGCTGTTTCCAGCTGCTGTCCCTGCTGGGATGCCATGATCTTCCCTTCTTCAATTCCCAAGCTAGGTAGTCAATCCCCTAGAAGTCAGAGAGCCAATGGTCAAGGAGCCCACCATACCAGAGCCCTTCCTTTTGCAGGGAGCGCACATGGTTCTTGCAGAGCACAAAGGAGATCTCAGCTTTCACTTTTTCTCCCTCTTCAATGGGGTCAACAATGACAAAATCCCCTGTAGGTGAGAAAAAGTGAAGTTGGTCCTGCTTACAATGGGGAGAACCAAGGCCACAAGAAGCGGTTCTATCATCCAGCTTCTCTCACCTCTCTTGATCCAAATGTTCTTGCGGTATTTGGAGGGCATGCTCACCAGGAAGCGTTGCCCTTGGGCTGTCTCCACCTCATGCAGATTGTTCCCTGGGGTCCTGAGGACCTGGTCCAGGAGATACCAAGAATCACTCAGCCTCATCAGTCAGATCAAACACCCTCTGAGCCACACTGCTCCCTACCCCCACCACAGGGGCCCTACAGGAATGGGGGGCAAGAGCAGCTTGTGCCCAGTGCCACTCACCCTCACAATCTCCTGATGGTCAGAGGGCACCATGTGCTCCCCCAACACCTCCTTCACCACGTGCTTCCTCTTGGTGGCCTGAGACATGCTGGGTCCTGGTCCAGGGTGGTTAGGGATGCAGAGACTGTCAACCCCTTCTCCTGAGTTCCTTGGATGGGGGGTTCAGAACCCAGGACTGTTTTAAAGATGAGGAGAGGACTTTTACTGACAGTGGCCTGCTTAAGAACATGGGCTCCGGGTACCTGCACAGTGAATATTTCTATACCTAGCCCTGAATTGTACCCCACGATTTTAAATAAAAATTTTAAAAAGGGGGGAAAAAAGAACATGGGCTTTGAAGCCTAATTGCCTGGATTTAAGCCCTACCTTAGCATTTCTTTCTTTCTTTCTTTTATTTCTTTGAGTCAGAGTCTCACTTTGTCGCTCAGGCTAGAGTCTAATAGCACGCGCATAGCCACCACAGCCTCAACCTGCTGGGCTCAGGCGATCCATCTGCCTCAGCCTTCCAAGTAGCTAGAAATACAGGTGTATGCCACCACGCCCAGCTAATTTTTTGATTTATTGTAGAGACGAGGACTCACCAAGTTGCCCAGGCTGGTCTCGAACCCCTGGACTCAGGCAATCCTCTCACCCGGCCTACCTTACCATTTCTTAACTTCAATTTGTCTAGGCACTAGATAAAATAATAGCTAACTTGTTGGACGCGGTGGCTCAAGCCTGTAATCCCAGCACTTTGGGATTCCGAGTGAGACTCTGACTCAAATAATAATAATAATAATAATAGCTAACTTAACATTGTTATGAAACAGCAAAACTAAAGCACTTAGGACAGCGTATGTCATTAGAAACAACTCCCATTACCCTAAGTACTAGTGTAATCATAAAAGTATACACATGTTGCAGGAAAATCATTCAGGCAGCCTCTCCGGAAGGAGGGTGAGACATCCTGATCTTCCCCAACACGCTTGTCCACCCCAAGACTAGCACAACCACACAACACAGAAACTCGATCTTCCAACGCGCGACAAGGGGAGACCTATGAGGTGACCACCGCGACGGCCGAAGCCAGGAAAAGAGTTAACTAGCGGTCGGTCAGCAGGCTTGGCCTGTGGCATCTGCCTTCTCTCTGACTTGGGTATTCGGAAGACGAGGGCTGGTTCCTCCCGATACTGATGGTTTCCAAAGGGAACTCCGACGTGTCATCGCTGGTTGCCGTTCCCTGTCCTCTCCCTCCCCAACCCGGAGAAAAGGCCTTCAGATGAAGACCCACACTCACTCTGCCCTGGGCTCCCGGCGGCGCTCCCCGAGCAACCCGGTCTTCCAGAATGGACGCTGAGAGCGGCTCGTCCACGACGCTGAGCCAACCGAAGCACAGAAGACGGGCGTGCCGGCGGCCGCGACGATAACGTCACCTGGAAGTCGGGTCTCCGGTGTTCCCAGCTCCCACCAACCCGACTGTGAGGAGCGTGACAGGAGTCTGCATCGGACTCTTCCGAAAACTGCACTTCCGGCGCCCTCCCGGAAGCCTCCCAGCCGCCCTTCGCCTCTCTTGTCCGTCCCTCTAAGTCTTCACACCGTCAGGTCGGTCGAGCCTAAGTCCAAGAGTTCCGGGCGCCGGGCAACAGAGAGAGGAAGTGTTCTCCCTGGAGGCCTCTCTCCTTCAGACCGGAAGAGCTGCTCGTGAAGCGAAATCATAGAAGGCAGCTGGGCTTCCCGAGAAGGACCGGAAAGGAGCGCCTCCTCAGGACGCCGTCGAGGTCCGGGGCGCCTCAACTCTATAGTTCTAAGTGGCTAGAAGTGCCCAATTCAGTTTTTTTTTTTTTACGCGGCTCCGCGGGTGACCCGGAAGCGGAAGTGGAAGAAAGTTCTAGTGGATTGAGGTATCGGCGGGAGCGGCCG